ACGTAATGAGTGCGAGATGATCTCTTTCTGCTCGGTGTGTGACGTAACTGTTCTCTTAGATAAGGGTTAGAATCACGCAAACATTCAGACATCGCTAAGAACCTGGCTCTGGGATGCCCGTCCGACGGCGACAGCGAAAGCATTATGCGTCTAAAAATACATAGATGAATGGATCAGTAAAATGATGAATACGTAATCGATGACGAATAGTATTAAAGGCTGTCAATCAGCAAGATATTCTCTCTAAGACTTCCCTCAAAGTTACAAGATCGCGGAGACGGAGATGAACCAGTTTCACGAGTTCGCTTTGAGGAAAAGACACGATGTTTCTTGCGGGAGGTAATGAAGATGCTCCAGGAGAGAACCTCTGGCACTAATTAGAGGGTATAATTACCTCATAGAATGTGGCTCGGCATGCGTTGTGGGGGTTATTTACCGGGGTCACTGGCACTAAGAAGGAAAGAGAGAAGAAGAGAGAGAGAGAGAAGAAAAGAAAGAGAGAGAGAGCGAGAGAAGAAAGAAAGAGAGAGAGAGAGGGGGAAGAGAGAGAGAGAAGAGAGAGAGAGAGAGAGAGAGAGAAAGAAATACAAGAAAAATATGTCAATGGTAGAAGAGGAATTAAAAAGAGAGAAAATGGGAAAACGAGTTGAACAATATGAAGACGAATGGCCCATAAAGTATCACGCTCAGAGAAAGCTTTAGACAGAGGACGATGGATAAAGGCTGGAACAAGGGCGGCGAGAGAATGAGCTGGAACAAATATGGGCGTGGACGAGGGAATAGAGATAAGGAAGAGGCATCGGGGAGAAAAGCTTAGTGGCGGAGGATAAGTAATGGCCAGCAGGGAATTAAATGCCTTTTAAAGGTGTGTCTCTTCTGTGAGGATGCGTGTGTCTGTGTGAATCTTTTTGTGTATACATATGTCTGTCTGTGTGCGTGGGCGTGTGTGTGTATGTGTGTGTGGGCGCCGCAGAAAACGAAGAATCCAGAGTCCCGAGGCGAGGTGTCGGTCGGTGTAGTGGTGTCACGTGGGTGATGGAGCGGTGACAAGCGAGGGGGTGTTGGCAGGGCGGCGACGAAGGGCAGGCCCGGACCGCCATTGTCTACCTCGTGCTGCGATGATGCTCAACACGGGTATGGGAGGTCGAGGCTCACTCACCGGGAGTTATGGCTCACGAGGACGCGAGCCATAACTCGACGCGGGTTTTGTTTTAGTGGGGCGCTGCGGGAGGACCTCGGGGAGCCGCGGTTAGAATTCGACCTATGGTATTCTTTAAAAGGGGGGAAATTTGGTGCAGAAATTTTAGGTATATAGAGATTGATGAAGAGGTAAATGGAATGTATATAAGATACGATATGGTAGGGGCTGTCTGTATAACAAAGATTTAAAAGATGTTGCTTCTGTTTTGATAGCACTATCATAAAAGAAGGAAGGGAGTAAGACAGGAAGAGAGAGAGAGAGAGAGAGAGAGAGAGAGAGAGAGAGAGAGAGAGAGAGAGAGAGAGAGAGAGAGAAGAGAGAGAGAGAGAGAGAGAGAGAGAGAGAGAAAGAGAGAGAGAGAGAGAGAGAGAGAGAGAGAGAGAGAGAGAGGTAGGTGGGGGGGGGGTCAGATAGACAGACAGACAGACAGACACAGAGAAAGAAAGAGTAATAAACCCGAACGCCACTGCACACGGGACGCAGACCCAGCCGCAGCCGCCGAAAGGAAACGGACTCGGGCGCGGGGAAACGAGCGCGCGTCCCTCGCTGCGAGCGACGGACGCACCCGGGGAATAACGGGCTTGCAACGGCGGGTCAGCCAACGGTGCTTCTAAGGACGGATATATTGCAGATTGCAGCTTGATTACTCCCGAGATTGTGGAGTGATTGGGTGCTGCAGCGGGACGTTGTTTTCCTGCAGCGTTAATTCCCTTTTTTTGTTCATTGCGTGAAGGTATAATTTTGTCCATGGCTCTTATTGTCATTAATGATAACAACGATAATTATTATTATTGTTGTTATTGTAGTTATTTTTATCATTAATATTAATACTACTGTTATGATTATTATTATCATTATTATTGTTGTTGTCATCATTATTACTAGTGTTGTTATTATTGTATTTTTATTACTGTTATTATTGTTGTTGCTGTTATTATCTATCATCCACCACCATCATCATCTTTTTATTATCCGAAAGTGGCAACATTCTATAAGAACAGGATTTGGGTGAGATAACTTGCTTGAGCTGCGTTGAAGTTTCCACGTCCCCGTAAAATTCACTTGCAATTTTGTAGCCTTGACAAAAATGGAAGAAGTATTTTTTTTTTACTTTTTTATTTGGTCTTATTCTATTTATTTTTTTTAGATGGTGATTTTTATTTTTTCTGTCGCCGCGATGGCAGGGTTAATTTACGTAACATAGCTCGCGTTCATATCAATCTAATTTTATTGGATATTACACAGATAATTATTATCATCACTGTTTTTTACACTTGCGGTTCATATTACTTTTTTATA